TTTATTTTTTAGTTTTCAGCAGACACAACATCTTTGTTGGTATGTGGTGCTGAGGATCGAACCAGGGCCACACGCATGCCAGGAGAGCGCGCTATCGCTTGAGCCACATCCCCAGCCCTCCTAAGTTCTCTTAATTTGCCTCCTCCATATTTCCAGAGCTGATCTTCTGGGCCACAGTGAGAGGTCCCCAGAACTCAATAGAGGATGAAACTTGGCTGTAAGTTTCCCAGGGCTCCCAGCAAACAGAGAAGAAACAAGATAAGTTTTTAACATTCCTTGTAACTCCTTGTAAACCATTTATTTTCATTAAGTCTGTGGTGAAAATAAGACTTTCCATTAAGTCTTACTAAATGCTGATCCTCGGCCAATCACTGTGCCGTGTCTCATGGAAACAGTCAAGTAAAACACCTTTGATCCCTGGAGTTGAAAAGATTACAGAAGTACAGTAAAACAGAATATAATAAAGGCCTCAAATGTGATCACAAATGTAATACTAAATTTTCTAGTAGTCATGTGAAAAAAAAACAAAAGAAAGAAGAAACAGGCAAACTTAGTTTTAGTAACATATTTTAGGGTCAGGCATGGTGGCACACACCTATACTCCCAGTGACTCAGGAGGCTGGGGCAGAAGGATCTCAGGCTGTCGGGGAAATCAGCAGAAGCCTGTCTCAAAGTAAAATTTTAAAAAAGGCTAGGGATGTAGCTCAGTGGTTAAATGCCCCTGGGTTCAATATCCAGTATTATATTTAAAAAATTCACTTACTATATCTAAAATGTTATTCTTTAACATGTAATCAGTATAAAAATTATATATTTTATATATTTTTTATTCTTGAAGACTGGTATTGTTTATACTTAACAACACTTTTCCACTCTGAGTAACAATCTTTCAGTGAATAATAGACCCATGTGGCTAGTATAGATTTTTTTTTTCATGAAATATGGCTGTTTTATTTTTTTTCACCTTTTTTTATTGGTAGTTCAAAACATTACAAAGCTCTTGACATATCATATTTCATACATTAGATTCAAGTGGGTTATGAACTCCCATTTTTACCCCAAATACAGATTGCAGAATCACATCGGTTACACATCTACACATCCACATTTTTACATAATGCCATATTAGTAACTGTTGTTTTCTGCTACCTTTCCTATCCTCTACTATCCCCCCTGGCTAGTATAGATTTATATTACTAGTAACAGACACTGAACTTTCTGAAGAAAGGATTGTAGGATTTGGTATTGCAGGCAGAGACAGCCACACTGTTTCACAAGAGGCTATGTGATCAAAACTTTGTATGCTTGTAGCTTTTTGCATGTTTTCTTTTTTCTTCATTTTCATTTTGCAAGTACTATGTGAATAAATTTTCATTATAAGAAGAGTCCAACAACAGAAACTGCTCCTCCCAGTTACTCTGGAGGCTGAGGCAGGAGGATGCAAATTCAAGACTAGCCTTGGAAATTTAGCAAGATCTTATCTCAAAATAAAATAAAAAGGGCTGGAGACATAAAGGTAGGATATCCTTATGTGCAAGACTCTGGGTTCAATCCCCAGGTCTGTAAAAAGAAAAAGAAAAAAAAAAGTAAGTGACAATCAAATATGATCACTATTACCCTGAAAAAGCAATCCTTTAAGAGCAGTCCTAGTGGGAACAGATGTATCCTCTCCTCTCTTTGAGAATTAGATCTTCCTCCAGGATTGGTAAGGTGGTTTTTTTTTTTTGTTGTTGTTGTTGTTTTTTTAATTAAACACTAGATAAAGTAGTTAGCTTGTTCAGGGTCTTTTTGGAAAAAGAAAATCTATGTTTGAACATTCAGCTCAATTAGACGTTCACCCCATAATGAGGCCACAGGATAGCTAGCCTAGACTACCTGCAACAAGAGATGAAACTCCTCTGTCCTCTGGCCTGGCTCTGATCCAGGCCCTCCTGGGGCGAGGAGGAAGGCACTCCCTCTCCCACCCACATACACTGCTTAAACTCTACTTCCTTTTTTTGTCAGGCTCCTGGAGCTGGATTTAGGTAAATTAAATGCTTTCTATGAGGTTCTGTTTTACTTGTCTTGAAGCCACTAAACTACTCTCAGAAACTGTGGGCTGTGTTCATTCAACCTCAGCAATTCTCACCTCTGGATTTTAGGAATTTCAGGAAAGTACCTATGTGGTGTTCATGAGACCCAAGGCATGGCCCAAGTGTAGCCACAAAGTCTCATGTGTTCTCAGACACAGTCTTTTTTCTTCGCGTATCTAAGGACAATTCTGTGACACTGGGGGCTAACTGGATAAAACCTTATTTACATTTTGGATACCCCAGGGGAAATGAAGGCACTACTCCTACAGTCCGCTCTTCATTAGAACTCTATGACTGCACTGTAAATTTTAGCATTATTTAGATTAATAGAATGCCATTTTTCTTATGTCAGTCTTACATAACACAAAGAACATTATAATAAAGACAAAGTCTTCCTTTATGGTTTTTCTGTTGGACCAGAGGATGATATCTAGGCAGCTGTCTGCATTACTGGGGAAGGGCAGCAGATGAGGTATCACGGAACCACAGAGAGGTATTTACCTCAGAGGACTTGCTATGGTTTCATCTTCAGTATTGAATCTTTATTTTATTTTATTTTATTTTTAGTTGTATATGGACACAACACAATGCCTTTATTTTTATGTGGTGCTGAGGATCGAACCTGGGTCCTGCCCATGGTAGGCGAGTGGTCTACCATTGAGCCACAATCCCAGCCCCCAGTATTGAATCTTCAGAAATTGGTTTCATGAACATCCCAGAAAAGAAACAGTACTTGCAAGCAAATTTGTTAAGAACAATACTGCCAGAAACTGATCTAAAATTCAGAATCCAGGCATGGATTTGTTTGCTCACAGACTTGTATTGACTGGGCTTGAGCCTGGCCAGATCCTAGGTTCTCGATATGATAAACAAAGCAGACTTAGCTCAGGCTCTTACAAAGCTGAGGGTCTAGTGAGAGAAACACATCAACAGACCATTCCAACCTAGTGAGAGGAGTGACATGGTGGGGGTCATACAGAAGGCTATGAAAGCAACGAGCAGGGGCATCACCTGGAGAAAGTGTGTAGCATATTTAACATTAGGGATGGCAAAGAAGGGAAAGAGCTAGTATGAAGGAAGAGTATCACAGGAAAGGGAAGGAATGATTGCAATATTTCAAAGAAACAAAACTAAGACAAGGCATGGTGGTGCCCAAATATTGTGGAGGCTGAGGTAGGAGGATCACCAAGTTCAAGGCCAGCCTGTGCAACTTATAAAGAGCAGCCTGTCCCAACATAAAAAGGGCTGAGGATGTGGCTAAGTGGTGAGTGCCCCTGGGTTCAATTCTCAGGGTTAAAAAAAAATATATAGAAAAGAAAGAAACTTGAAAGAGAACACAAAGGTGAGGCTGACCTTGGCTAGGAAGACTGTTTCTTTCCTAAACTAAGAAAGAAAAGATGACCATGGGTACATAGAATTATAAGATGGATGGAAGACAGTTGTTGCCTATACAATCTGTATGGGGGGGAAGGGATCAGGAGGGAGGTTAACTTCTCAGAGTGAGGAGAAAATGCTGGTGTTTGTGATTTGAAAAAGATTATATTTGACACTGTGGGAGAAAGAGACATAAAGATCAGAATGGGAAAATGCAGGAAATTCACCTAAAAGGACTAGCCTATTTGAAGTGGACCACTGTGTCCCCAGGATTCAAGGTAGGGTGCTCTTCTACAGTACCCATGACCCTAGAGAGAAATCACACTGGCAAATTCACCAAGGTTATGGTTTTGGCAACCTGACACCACTTAGTTTACAGACCTTGGGCAGGAAGAGGTGTAAAGAACAGAGGAATATGACAGATGGAGGGGGGATTAGAAACCTGTTTCTGTTTTCCTCATCTCAGCCAGTGCTGTCACCAAGCATCCACCACTGAAATCAGGACCCATGGTATCATTTTTTATTTTTTTTTATTTTTTTTTTTGCTTTTGCTTTCTCTCTCTCTCTCTCTCCCTCCCTCCCTCCCTCCCCCCCCTCTCTTAAATAGCCACAGCATCATTGCTTCATTTTCAATTTCCCTTCAACCTCAATCCACATTCAAGATATATCAGGTCCACACCTATCCTATCTCTGGTTCATTCCCTTCTTTTCCTCTTCATTTGGTCTCAGCTGTCACAGAACTGTTAAGTCTATGATAATAGGACTCCTCACTTGGCACCAGAGTTGTTTTAGTGCTAGAATTAAATATACTCAAAATGGTTTCTAAGCCCAGGAAATAATTGAGTGAAGCTTCCAGAGACTTCACTCAAGTGAAGTGAGTGAGTTCCGTGGTACACTGAAAAGTTATTTTTCATCTCACAGGGACAGGGGTTCTTTACCATCTCCAGCCCTTTTTATTTTTTGACATAGGAGCTTGCTAAATTGCTGAGGCTGGCCTCGAACTTGCAATCCTCCCGCCTCAATCTCCCAAACCCCTGGGATTACAGGGGTGTGTGACTGCACCTTGCTAGACATTTTCATAATAAATCGAAACGGATTTTTTTTTTTTTTTGGCTGAAAAAAATGAGCAGGCCAGCTACTACTCTGTCCGATACAAATTTTAATGGATTGTTATGAAAGTGAGGTAGGGGTACATGAGTTAATAACATTAAAAAAATCACATAACAGTTCCTAGAGAATTTAATAAATGTTAAGTATTATTATCCATTTAGAACGGAGAAAATGGACACAGATTGGAGAAGATGGGGTGCTTGAATAAATTTCATTGAAGGGCTTCCGGCAGATTTTCATTACTGTGGACCAGAATATGTAGGAACCAGGGTTCCGCTGATCAAGTTCTGTTGCTTTGAGAGTTAATACCTGTAATTTCCATCTCTACGCCACACGTTGCTAGTTTGTGAGCGGTAAGAACTAGACTCCAGATTGCTCTGCAGTTCTGTTCTGCCTACAGGTGTCACCATTACGATTCTTCTCTTAACGTCTTCTTTACGTGAAACTGCATTTCCCATGAGCGCCCGCCGGCGTCGACGTCGCGCAGTGTTTTCGCCGTCGCTCCGCGCCCTTTATACTCACTTCCGCCCGCTAGTCTTCCTTTCCTTTCGGGGCTTGCGGCGGCAAGATGGCGGTACAAATTTCCAAGAAGAGGAAGGTGAGCCTTTGGGCCCGAGGACGGGAAACTCTGGGGATGCACGGGCCCAGGATTTTCATGGGGTGTTATTGAGAGACCCACAGCTCCGTGCCTTGTTCCAGGAAGTGGCTATGGCTGCCTTGGGTTCCCGCGGGCTGCGGATGGCAGTGGATTGAGGGCGAGGCCCGCGGCGGCTGAGCGCAGTGTGGCTGGGGAAGATACAGATTCCGCCAGTTCCCGACTTAGCTGGGCGCCCCACCTGCCCGGGAGAAGGAGCTTGTGAGCATTTCTTAGGCCGACAAAATAATAAACGTAGCATTTAGAGGGCATGAGGCGTCACATCTCATCCCATGGCTTTGGGAAGGAGCGACAACAGTGTAGTTCGGTTTCCTTGCGTAGTGTCTCAATGTATCTAACAACTCCAGAGACCTCAGTTGGAGAGGCTACTGATAATTGTTCCTTCCTGGAGATTCTCGGGTTCAATTTTTTGTCATTCCCAGAGTAAAGAGCTGTAAAAGTCATTAGCTTTAGAAATAGACGGTTTGTTTTTATCGATAGATCAGTTCACAAGTACGTTAAGACCAGGTAAACATGGCTGGGATTTTTGCGACCAAGTTGCAGTCCCCGTGTGAGACTGCTATCTTCGGCCCACACTGCTCCTTTGACAAGTAGGTGTCCTTGCAGTGCTTAATAAGATATATATATATATATATATGCCACTTTAGAGCAGCTTTTTATTTTACATGTTTAAGTACCAGTTTTTAAACCCTTCAATGAAGAGATGATGACGAGTCTGACTTGGTTCATCTTTGGCCATGCGGCCCTACTCTGTGCTACGTTCTGTGGCACAGTTTAAAGGACCCTGGTAGAAGAAACTAAGTAAAGATGACCTAGAGGCATTTGTCTGAGAAGGGTTCCTGTATTGCTGTTGGAATAGGAGCATTGGGAGAATTAGCTGAATGTGATGGCACATGCTTTTAATTCCAGCAACCAAGGAAGCTGAGGTTCCAGCTCAGCCACAGCAACTTAGTGAGGCCTTCTCAAAAAAAAAAAAAAAAAAAATTGGTGAGGATGTGGCTAGGTGGTTAAGCTGTCCTAGGGTTCGGTCCGTGACACCACAACAAAAAAAATAGAATCATTGATGGGTTATTTGTTGGAAGTGTTGCTTTGTAATGAGTGATTAATTGACTGATAAACTAGACCAGTCCAGGGGAATGTAAGCCTTTACTTGTTTCCTAATTTTTAACTTGTTTTTTCTTTTTTTTTCTTTTTTTTTCCGTGGTGGTGGTGTTAGTTTGTTGCTGATGGCATCTTCAAAGCTGAGTTAAATGAGTTTCTCACTCGGGAGCTGGCTGAAGATGGCTACTCTGGAGTTGAGGTCCGAGTTACGCCAACCAGGACAGAAATCATTATCTTAGCTACCAGGTAAAAACTCACTCATTACCTATGATTGTTATATATACTAAGGTGACTTACTCTGTGTAAACTTTGGAAACAACCAATGAATCTGGCCTTGGTGAATGCTTTTCTCCCCCATCAGTATTGGAGATGGTTCCCAGGGGTGCTCTACCACAGAGCTATATCATTTTTCTTTATTTTTTGAGAGAGGGTCTCATTACAGTACCCAGGCTGGCCTTGAACTTAGGCCCCACTGCACCTGGTTAGCCAATGGTCCTTTATTGACATTTCTCATGTTGAGTCTGTGAGAATCCTGGTATGACTCTACCCTTCCAGAGCTCTGAGCCAGATGGACAGACAGGAACAGACACTGCTAGAGAACTGGGGAAGGCACTGTTTGTCCTCCACTTGGCTGCACCCTGGATGCAAGTTTTTTAAAAGCTGGATTTAAAAATTTTTATCTTAGTTCTTGTTATTTAAAATTTATACTTTCTAAGCAGGGCACAGTGGCACATGCCTGTAATTTTAGCAGCTTGAAAGACTCCGTCACATAGGATCCCAAGTTCAAGGCAGCCTAAGCAACTTAGCAAGACCCTCAGCACCTTAGTGAAACCCTGTCTAAAAGGGGTGAGTGGGGTTGGGGGTTGTAGTTCAGTAGTAGAACACCCCTTGGTTCAATCCCTTGTACCACACACAAAAAAGCTACATTTAGAATTTTGTCATAAGATTTGAAGTTAGGTTTAGAATTTTGTGAGAATCATGAATTGTCACCTTTTTTCCTTTAGGACACAGAATGTTCTTGGTGAGAAGGGGCGGCGGATCCGGGAATTGACTGCAGTAGTTCAGAAGAGATTTGGCTTCCCTGAGGGCAGTGTAGAGGTGAGTGGTCATGGTTTGTGCCAGAAATTATTATGGACTTGGAAATGGCTCTTTAGAATGGTACTTAAAAAAAAACCTTGATGTAACCTTTGAAACTTTAATGTATTTGTGTTTATTGAGTATTACAAATATTGTGTTTTGTTAAAGTTCTTAATCAGTAGTGGGCTTAATTTTATAGGTCTGTTCAACTAATTTGATGGCTAAAGAATTTTTATATTCCACTCGAGTATAGAAAAGGTAACACAGGATAGACTGGCTACCCCATTGGTCTTCCTAGTGTGGCTTTAGGGTGAGCCAGTGGTGGGAACACAATGAGAACTGTGTCACTATGTACCTGTGTACCATGTGTGGGTAGAAGTGCTTCAGTTCTTCAGGGTTCTTCATAATATTTGATGGTGTAGGAAAAAGATGATTGTGCTGGCTTATAATTGGAAATAGTGAAGTTAACAGCGTGTGTCTTGTTTTCTTTAAAGCTTTATGCTGAAAAGGTGGCCACAAGAGGTCTCTGTGCCATTGCCCAGGCAGAGTCTCTGCGATACAAACTCCTAGGAGGGCTTGCTGTACGGAGGTGAGTGTCCTGAAACTTGATGGTTATGCACTCTTGGTGTGGATCAGAATATGGTATCTGCCATTTTGTTGATTTAGCAGATGAACTCTTATAAAGTGATAGGATCATCTAGTCTCCGAAGATACTGGTAATCCAAGCCATTGCTGAACTAGTAGGCTGACAAAATTAGTAAAGAAGCAAAAGCCATAAAGTGTGGTCAGTGCTGTAATGGAGAAGTGTTCTGCGTACTTTGAGAGTAGAATAGAAATAGAACTGCAGCCTCCACTCACTAAGGAGTAATTCATATTAACTCGGCTGGTGTTATGTATCTATAGGCAATAAGTGTGCTTTGGCACTTGTAGGATACCTCCATTCAAGCCAGCTAGAAGCCATGCAAATCCACTAATGAATTCACTCTTTTGAGGGCTGTGAAGAGAACATAGTCCTGGTGGGAGACAGCATAAAATCTAGACACTTAATCTCTATAAACTATAGTTACGATAATGAGGAGTGATAAAGGGCAATAGGGAGTTGGTTGACAAGCTCTTTGTGCAGTATGACTATTTGTGGAGTGTCTTCCCCTTGTTTGGAATTTAGACAGTACTTGACTACAGAGCCCTGGAGGAAGGAATGTTTTTCAGCTCAGGAATGACATGAATGTTCTGCTATAGGAAGGTTGGTCTGTGGGATTGGGTAATATAGTCAAGGACATGGAAAAGACAACCTGATTTGAGTGCCAGTTCGCTGTTATAACAGTATTCCTGAAGTTTTATTTCTGGGCTAACATTACTGCCATCACTGGGAACTTCTTAGAAATAAAAACTGTTTCTATCTAGTTCCCATTGAATGAAAAATTGGGGGTGTGTGTGGCCCAACTCTCTGTCTAAATAAGCCTTCCATGTGATTTTTGTTGACATTAATTAAAGTTAACTTGGAAGTTTTGCAACCTAATCAAATTACTGAGTTTCTCTGACCGTTGGATCTCCTTTAAATAAAGGTTATTATGCCAGTTGTCCTTAGTTGTGATGATTGAATGACATTGAGAAAGGGTGGGAAGTGGTTAATAATCCAGTTGGTATCTCATATGGTGTAAAGCAATGGATAAGACTGGGCAGCAAAGGCAGGTATTTTAAAGATTGAGTTTTATAGACCTAAAGTTTTTTCCAGCACTCTGATATCAAAACAGCCAGGTTCCCATATAGTACTCTTGTTCACTTCTGAGTATGAATTCTAGAGGTTGAATATTTCAGTAAACCATGGAAGAACCCTAAGTTATTATTAAGAGCGGGTTTGTGGGGTTTTTTGTTGTTGTTGTTTGGCACGGGGCATTAAACCTAGGGTTGCTTTACCACTGAGCTACATCTCCAGCTTTTAAATTTTCATTTAGCAACAGTATCACTAAGTTATCTAGGGCCTTATTAAGTTGCTGAGGTTGGCCTTAAACTTGGGATCCTGTTACCTCAGCCTCCTGAGTCTCTGGATTACAGAGACTGTACCAATGTGCCTGGCTGTACTTGTGGAGTTTTAAAGTATAGTTCTCAACTTTGGTTGTATGTGAAAACTACCTAGGGACCACTTTTGAAAATGCCTTGAGCTTTGCCACCCCAGAGCCATCAGGGTTTGGTTTTTATAAAGCCTTCTGAAGTGATATGCAGATACGGTTGGAATTCACTTTGTTGCTTGAAGCTTAACATTAATTCCCTAAGGAAAATTAGCCTAAGATTAGTTATGAGAAGAATAGAAGAGAATTACTATTTTGGGGGGTCAGAATGTGATCTCATTTGCTCTTCATTAAAGGATCATTAGAGAGAAAAAAGATAGTCTTTTTTTTTTTTTAACTTGCTGGAGAGGTTAGATGAATTTTGTATTTGTTAATAACACAGGTGTGTTTCTTTTGTTCTTCTAAAGGGCCTGCTATGGTGTGCTGCGATTCATCATGGAGAGTGGAGCCAAGGGCTGTGAGGTTGTGGTGTCTGGGAAACTCCGAGGACAGAGAGCTAAATCCATGAAGTTTGTGGATGGCCTGATGATCCACAGCGGGGACCCTGTTAACTACTATGTTGATACTGCTGTGCGCCACGTGCTTCTCAGACAGGGTAAACAGCTGGGGATATTTGAGGCAAAGAGCATAAGCAGATGTTTCCATAAACAACCTCAGTATTTGTAGGGATTTACCTTGGAAATAGCTGGGCATGTTAGTACTCCTTGGGTTTATTGATTAGCTGCATGGATGTAAAATTTGTATTGTTGATCATTGCTTTGTTTTTGTCTTGTCTTAGTCTTCTCTGTACCCTTCAGTGATGATATGATGACGAGTCAGAAAGGTCACATCCTGCTCTTGGTCCTTGTCAGTGCCACGTTCTGTGGTGCTGTGCAGGGTTCCTTTTGCAAGTGTCCTGTTCATTGATTGATTTAGAGGCATTTGTCTGAGAAGGGGCCAGATCCAATGGTGCTCGAGAAAACTGCTCTTTTCTATCCTGTATGTGTGTGTGAGGGGAGTGTTGGTGAAGCACTATTTAGTTCCTGTCTGATGTCCTCTAGGTGTGTTAGGCATCAAAGTGAAGATCATGCTGCCCTGGGACCCAAGTGGTAAGATTGGCCCTAAGAAGCCTTTGCCTGACCACGTGAGCATCGTGGAACCCAAAGATGAGATCCTGCCCACCACTCCCATCTCAGAACAGAAGGGTGGGAAGCCAGAGCCCCCTGCCATGCCCCAGCCAGTCCCTACAGCATAACAGGTAAGTCTGCAGTGTCCTTCCTATTCCTTGTGCATGTGTGTGCATATGCATGATCACGCATGTGTACACTGGTATCAAACTGATAATAAGCACTTGGTGAATAAAATTGGATTCTGGAGATTGACTAAGTTGGAATCTGGGGCCCATTTAATTCACAGTTCTGTTGGGGTGGCTGATCCAAGAATGAAGATCCTACTTTTACTGTTATCTGAAATACTTGCTCAAGATTTTCAAGGCACTCTTGTTAGTAATTGGCTGGTGTTCTTCAGCAGCTCCCTAACAAGCAGCCTCTTATGTATCTGAGGGTTTTGTTTGTTTCTTGGTGGTGGTGCTGCTTCTTATTTTTATTGGTACTGGGAGTTGAACCCAGAGGTGCTTTATTACCAAGCAACATCCACAGCCCTTTTTTAATTGTTGTTTTGGGTCAGGGTCTCACTAGGTTGTTGAAGATCTTGGTGAGTTGCTGAGGCTGGCCTAGAATTGTGATCCTCCTGCCTCAGCCTCCTGAGTCACTGGGATATTGGCATGCGCCACTATGCCTTCCTGTATTGTTAATCTTAATGTGAACCTATTTGATAAGTGAAGGAACTTGATACTGAGGTACAGTGTCACTTACTGTTGTGCTCTGTTTGGTTTCAGGGTCTTCTTGGCAGCTGTATCTGGAGTCTGGATGTTACTCTTTAAAGACATTTAATAAAATCTTGTACAAAGACATAAGGCCTGACTAGATTTTCTGTCCACTATTCAAGCTGAGTTATGTTGGACTGTGGAACATATCATTTTGGTTTAAGCCATATTTGCAGTATTTGCAAAGGGCCAAAACTGGAGGAACCAAGCAGAGCTAACCAGAGAAAGATGAGATTGTGAAGATTGACAGCTGGCAGGCAGCACTTTGATTAATTATCCCTATGTTTCAGGATTACAGGTTTAGAAGAAGAATTTGGTTTGGAAGGTGGTGATTGAGCCTAAGGCCTAGCACATGGTAGACATGCACTCCACCACTGAGCTATGGGAGTTAAGATTATTTTTTCCTGCTGTATAAGGAAAATTGTATTGCACATAGAAAGTAAATATAAGTACATACTTTTGCCATCCTGTGCTAAGTGTGTGTGTTATATGAATTCTTAGCATCTCTAAAGTGTAAAGGGGATTTGACTGTGCTATTGTGCTTAAATCTTAGAAGTGAATTGCCTTAAGTAGTGTAAAACTGTCATTAGAGTCCACATCCTAAGTCCTATGCAGTGAGCTTTTATAGCCTGGAATACTATTAAAAACACCTAAATTGTCTACAGTTTTATCTGTTTAGAAATATTTTTGATTAGGTGAAATTGGTGAAGGTAAAGTTGGCTTGAAAAATCCCATAAGACTGGTAGACCATTTTGATTGGTCACAGAGGAAAGTAATTTACCACTACATACAGCTTCCTAATGACACCTGTTATAGGAATGGGAGGCCAAGTCAGGTGGCTCCATCGATTGCCTCAGAAGTGCTGTTTGATTATTTGGTTGTCTTAACTATATAGAGTCAAACGAGCACCTGCACTGTACATTGTTATGGTAAGGGCTTTTATTCATCAGGTTTTTATTAATTCATGGATAGCAAGCACAACCTGTAAGGACTTCTGAATTCTCTAATCATTGGCATAACTAAAGTGTTAGTGACCCATTTACTGGCCTTGAGTGAGTTTACTTTGTAATACCTTGTGTCTTGAAACTAAAACCTGACTTAACAAAAATAAGTGGGGCTAACATTATCCTAAGAATGAGCCTTCTCAACTGATGAAAGGTTTCTGGGAAGATTTGAGAGTGAGATATTGTAAAGGCTGCCTGTTGGGGTAACTGCATCTGTAAAATGGTTGTGTGCTTACCCTCAAAACTGACAGTTCTTTGGCTTTTATCTTCCACCAGAACTGGGAAAGTTTTATTTATTCCTTGTAGGTAAAACTAGGTGTTTTGCAAATTTTGCTAAAAATGTTGGGGTTTTATTGTATTTTGGGTGGTGCTAGGGGTCAAATCCAAGTCCTTGAGTGTGTTGGTTAAGGGCTGTCCCACTGAGCTATTATCAAAAGTCCAAATATTTTCACTAGCTAAGCTGCTTTATTCCTGTTATTTCTTAGCCTGTGCTGATGTAGTTGAGACATGATTATTTGTAGTGAAATGTGTTAAAATTAATTGGAGTATTCATAGAGAACTGGGTGATGCAAACAGGTTAAGACAGTTGTCATCTGAGACCTTAGCATTTAGTACTGGCACAGCCAGTTACAGATCTTTGTATGTAGTGGTAAATTACTTTCCTGATGGTTTTTCTGCAAACCTCATCAATCCACTTAGAATTGTAAGTTCTTTGTCTGTGGGACAAAATAAACTTCCCAGCAGGTGATGTTGTAACAAGACTGCTGTAAGTAGCAGCTTGGAGAGGAAGAAACAAAACTTACTGAACTGGTACAAAGGGAAAACTGTAGATGATGATGATGGTGATGATGGCCGCAGCGTTATAGCACAGGGTCAATGAACTGGCACATAGAAAACTGCAGATGATGATGATTATTATAGCACAGGGTCTCTGTCCCCACAATAGGTAAGGTATTAATGCTGAGCAGCTAAAGTTTTGTTGTAAAACTGTCCTTGGATCCCACTGGTGATAATGAGGCAATATGAAAAGTGCTGAAGTCTATTGTGGACTCTCCACTAATAGGTTACTGTCAGGCTCTTAGATGTTAGGTTGTTAGGATTCTTGGCAGCTGGTGACAGGTTGCAGGACTTGCATGGCTAAATCAGTTGTCCATAAGCAAGGAGAGAGCACCTGGATATGAAGGTTGAAGACCAAAATTGCACCATCAGTGTGTAGAACCAGGAGAAGCATAGAAAATGTGGTGAGGACAGTGGGGAAAGGGTTTTAAAGGGGGGAGTATTTGGGCTTGCAAACTTTCTATCACAAAGTCTGGAGCACACAGTGAAGTGTGATTATTTGTGGAGCCTCCCCACAATTATATCTCCAGGAGGAGGGCCAAGAAGTTTCAGGCACAGACCCCAGCTCACCACCTCCCGTCAGCCAGTTTTGCACTTTTAACTGGGACCAAGGATGCCAGTTGTGACTAGGATCTTCCTTTCCACATAAAATATATTTCTGGAGACATAATAGCAATAGTTAAGAACCCTAGTCTTTAAGCCAGTCTGAATTCAATACCAGTCCACAACTTTTTATGTGAGCAGGGCACATCAGTTAACATCTCTGCCTACTCCAGACTGTCTGCATGTAGAGCTCTTGGCATGCAGCAAGCTGCCTAACTCAGCAAGTGCCCAGTAAGTGCTGTTAACTACAGTTGACCTGTGAACAGTGTCGGGGTTAGAGACACCCCATGTGGTTGAAAAATCCCAGTATGACTTTTGACTCCCTAAAAGCTTTATAAATCCTTAACTGATAACATAAACAGTGAACACATGCTTTGCATATTATTATATTACTGCAGTAAAGCAATTTACTGTAGATACCAGTCATTCATTCATTCAAGAATGAAGCACTTCAGGGCATTTTAAGTGGGGCAATAATTGAGCTCCCTGTAAGAGCAACAGGACATGGCTCTGAATTATTACAGTTGTACAGTATTAACTAGTTAATTTTATGCAGTTATTTAATACTGCATCTTTTGGACTTTGGTGTGTGAGAGTGTGCCCACACCGCACGGGCTGGGCATTTAATCACTGAACCACATTCCCAGCCTTTTTATTTTTTATCTATTTTACACAAATTCTTGTTATATTATTTAAGGCCTTAATAACTTGCTGAGGATGGCCTTGAATCTATTTTTCCTGCCTTGGCCTCATGAGTTCCTGGAATTACAGTGTGTGCCACCACACCTGACTAGTGCTAAATCTTTCAACTTTGTAATAGACAAGTGTATTTCATGTAATGATAAAGTAGACTATATTTTATTCATGACATACCTGTCAATTTTTTTCAATATTCATAGGCTACACAGTTCATTTGCAAGCTTTTACAAGTTCTCACAAATCTTAAAAAAAAAAAAAGTTTTATGTATAAGTGGACATGGAAGGGCTGGGGATGTAGCTCAGTTGGTACAGTGCTTGCCTTGCATATACAAGGCCCTGGGTTCAATCCCCAGCACCACATAAATAAATAAACAAATGGGCCTATGTAGCTCAAACCTGTGTTGTTCAAGGGTCACAGGTAGGCAGGTATCGATGTCCCCATATTATAAGTGGGAAATTATGCCTTTTGCCATGCCTTAACCCAGTTGCTGTCTAATGACTCCTGAGCTCCCATGTTTCTATGTACAAATGCAGCTGTTAGGGGCTGGGGATGTGGCTCAAGCGGTAGCGCGTTTGCCTGGCATGCGTGAGGCCCGGGTTCGATCCTCAGTACCATATACCAACAAAGATGTTGTGTCTGCCGATAACTAAAAAATAAATATTAAAAATTCTCTCTCTCTGTCTCCTCTCTCACTCTCTCTTTAAAAAAACAAAACAAAACAAATGCAGCTGTTACATTTCAAAGTGGGGCTTGCCAACACCGAATTATAAAAATATTTAGGTGCCATTGAGAATCAGCATTTTCAACCTCAAAGATTGTTTTTACTGTTTTGTCTACCAGCTCTTTCTTTGTTAATCAAAGCTACATTTATAGGGGCTGGGGTTATGGCTCAGTGGTAGAATGCTTGCCTAGCATGTGTGCAGCACTGGGTTTGATTCTTAGCACTGCATATAAATAAAGTCCATTGACAACCAAAAAAAGAGTAAAGCACCTAACAGTCTACAAAGTACTAAAAAGAAAAAAAAAACTACATTTATAACATAAGCAGCATGGCTGTGGTGAGGAAACAATTTATATCCTGTTAACATTTTATCTGTTCAGCATTCCTGTAACAGGAAGATTACATTACTAACCCTAGTTGACAGTTTAACTCATGCAGTATGTATCTTAGGAGGATGGCAGTTTCTCTTAGGCATTGAAAATATTTAGGATATCAAAATTTTCATTTCTGATTTGAGAACAAGTCACATGAAATCTTAGGTTAGGAATGACTTATCAACAGCCTAACCTGGCCAGGTGCAGCTGGGCCTTTGTTCACTGAGCAGGGAGTATACTATGATAGATTTATTTCACTCTCCCTGGTGGGTCATCCACTGTCCTGAGCAACCTGCTCCTTAGCCCTTTGTGTGGTGAGCCAAAGAGCTAAATCTGCATCCAAAATTGCCTAGAGAGGACAGAGCTCCCTGGTCTTCTTGTTTAAGGATGTTTTCCTTTTAAAAGGAGAGAATAGGCACAATGATAGGGCTGCTTTCCTGCTTGGGTGGTTCAAAGGAAATGGATTGCTGACTCTATGGTTTTTCCCTCAACATACCAGGAAGGGTGGTCATCATTGTTCACTGTTTTGGTGCAATGGACACCCCCATTTATGTTTTAAGTCATTTTACAAATGATTTACAGAACTAAGAGTAATAGTAAAAAATAATTGCAAGGTTTAACAGGCATTCAAATACTCAAAACTATTCAAATCTTAACAAATAGCATATTTTTGAATATACTAGAGATTACTGGACCTTTTAAATGGATGAATTTTATGGTATGTTAAATATATTTCCTTAAGGCTTTCATTCATAAATATATATCTATGTGAAGATACATGTGTGTACATGTAAATTAAAACAGCAGATAATTTCATGTATTCCTTGTCTTTGGAGATAAAATGAGCACTGTCCCTTAAATGCAATGAAGTAGTCTGCCATGCCTGAAACTGGAACATATTCATCTTGTAACTACTGATTTCAGATTCCAAATACATCTCTAATAGGCTTTGATTTATCATTGCTTTCACTGTTTTGTGTTTGCACTTGTATCCTCAGCATATAATACTTTGAAATTTTTGATGGCTCATAATTTTATTGAGATGGCAACCATTTTCTTTATTCCATAATTATAAGACATTTTTTAGACTTAAAAAGGCCAATTGTAATGATCAATCCATAGTTTTAAAAAATATCTAACCAGGTACAAGGCACATGCCAATAATCCCAGTAAGTTGGGAGCTTGTGGAAGGAGGATTGTTAAATTGGAGGGCCAGCCTCAGCAATTAGCAAGACTGTGTCTCAAAATATAAAAAGGGTTGGGGTTGAAGCTCAATGATACAGCACCTCTGGGTTCCATCCCCAGTATTAAAAACAAAATTATCTATCCCATCTGTTTCCCTCTAGTCACCTTGGGCACAACTGCTTTCAGCCTTTCTCTGCCTATGAATTGTACCTAGTAAATTATGATGCATAGTAACTGTAAAGATTTGTCACACCACTTTTTGGCAAAACAGGATGGTCCAGGTTTTTGTTACAAAAAGAGCAATAAAATCTTCCTGTTATGAATAAACTGGATGAAAATACCATTTTTTTGTGTGTTTAGAAATAATTCATTCATTACCAAAATGAATCTAAGAAATATTTTTGTTTATGTGAATATTGCACCACCATTCTGGAGTGCTGCTATGTGTCTACATTCGTTTTCTGATTTATATGATGTCCTCTCTCAATTTTCTTCTCCTTTTTCATTATGAGTAGAAAAATAAGAAATCCTGAATTATCAGTTGATGTTTCTGGACTTCTAAAAGATGATATAACACTTTGGGAAACACAATAAGGAAACTGAAGGATGATATGATAGTGGTGATTTCATTTTTACTATTGCATCTTCCTTCTAGGTAATACCATCATCCTTCCATTATTATCTTAGCATAGTTTGGATTAAATCGTATGAAATAATTTTTACAATGATGAAATAGTCTTTCATGGTATAAGAGTGTCAAAATCTTGATATGTTTAAATTTATAAAAATCCTATGAATCTATGGTAATTGCAAGATAAATTGAGCTGCATTCTATATTTAAATTTTTTTTTTTTTTAGTTGTAGATGGACACGATACCTTTATTTATTTTTATGTGGTGTTAAGGATCAAACCCAGTACCTCACACGTGCTAGGTAAGCTCTTTACCACTGAGCCACAGTCCCAGCCCCATTTTATTTTATTTTTTTATATTTGTTTTTTAGTTTTCGGCAGATACAACATCTTTTGTTTTTGTATGTGGTGTTGAGGATCGAACCCGGGCTGCACGCATGCCAGGCAAGCACGCTACTGCTTGAGCCACATCCCCAGCCCCCCATTCTATTTTTAACATACAAGTTTGGTTATTGTTCTTTAAAAGACTACTAAGAAAGAGTAACATAAAATATCAATTATAAATTGCTAGAACTCAACAACTAGATTTGGGTCTGGGGGTTATTAAGCCTCTGTTCTCAACTGGGAGAGCATGTTAACCCTGCATGGCTGCTGGGTGTGTTGGTGCATGTCTGCAATCCCAGCTACTCCCACTTACCTGGGAAGCTGAGGCAGGAAGATTGTAAGTTCTAGGCCAGACTGGGCAATTTAGTAACACCCTGTCTCAAAAAAATGGGCTGGGGATGTAGCTCAGTGGCAGAGCACCCCTGGGTTCAATCTCTAGTACTGCAAAAACAAAACAAAATACTCTGCATGGCTAAGGGGTCTATCTATGCTTAAGATTTTCATGGTCTGGCCTCCTAGAGAATGGTAACAGGCTCTCTCATTCAAGAGTCAGCCTTGGATACAGAGGGCAGGGAAATCGGAGCCAAGGAGATTCTCTGTATGATCTCTAGCTAACCAATAAGTCCTAGGAGATTAGAACACTTGATGTGTTCCCTTCTGATTATTTTCTGGTGAGCCTTACTCTTTAAGGGCTTAAACCATGTCTGACCTCATCCAGTTAGAGGCTCAAGGGCAGACAATATCCTATCAGACCAGGATTTCTCAGGGTGGAATTGATGGTAGTTTCTACTTCTTTCTATACAACTGTGGTGTGCTCAACAAGATTGTTTCCTTAGCAGAGCCTGGGTGAGGCAGCATGGAGAGCAGCCTTTGGAGAAGGCTGGGCCCAGGTTTGAATCCTCACTCTGCCACTGTTTACCATCCCAGTAACCTTAAGTAAGTCACTTCACAATTTTTTTTTTTTTTTTTGTGTGTGTGTGTGTGTGTGGTGCTGGGGGCCTAATCCAAGGCCTTGTGCATGCTAGGCAAGTACTCTACCACTGAGCTATATCCTCAACCCCATTTGACAATTCTGTTTCCTCATTTGTGAGGATACAGGCAGATGGTGATAGTGCCTACCTCAAAGGTATAAGGTACAAATCCAGGAAATTTGATTGAGTGTATTTTGTAAGTGGCCTTTTTTTCAGGCACTGAGGAATAGAGGTGAAGCTCACAACAGGCCTTAGGGCCTCCTCGGGGTGTGTTTTAGGAACTTAGAGATGTCACATAAAAAGCCTGGGTTATATGCTAGGTGATAAAAGAGGGGCAACAGATATGGAGCACAAGAAGAAAGTGGGTAACTCGGGTGTAGAGTATCAGGTGTGCCTAGGCACACAAAATAGGAAAGAACATTGACACTGGGGACAAAATGGTGAGCATGGAGGAAATGGGGCACTCTGCCTGGCACAGAAAATATCCAACTCAGGTAAGATGCTCTTTTTGAAAGAGTTTGCCCTGGATGTCCTTTTTCCTGGATAGGTAAATAATGTGGTACCTTCTTAGTTTTGTTCTGTTACTCATGGGGTGGAATAGGCAGGGTTGGTGGGTCTGGGCTTCCCCTCCCCTCCCCCTGCTGCCATTATCAGTTGTGTCCAGATGGTCACAGGCTCCCTAATCTGGGATAATCGGTAGGTCACAGCCCAGCTGGGACCTGGGTCTTTGTGTCTGGCTATGATGTGCCAGCCCCAGCTGGAAAGACTGCAGACAGGCCCTGAGGCTCTGGAAGATGGGGAGGGCAGGGGGTCTGGCCCTGTTCTGGAGGGAGATATGAGGAACAGATGATAACTCCTCTTCAAAAGGCAACCTGAGCATAAATAAGGGGGCTTCTGCAGATGGGCCTGGCCAGGGCTTCCAGCCTTGGGCTTAGCTTCAAAATCTGCCTGGTTTGTTTTGTTCCCTCTCTATTAAGCACACCCCGACCTACCCAGCAGTTTTGTCACTGCCCCTAGAGCCTCAGACCACACCATGTGTTTATAATGGCATCAGGAACTTGTGCCTAATATTGATGTTGGGGATCTGGCAGGTCCAGGTGCACAGCCAGGCTGGCTGGGTTCTCAGGCCTGTGACTCTGGTGCCCTTCATCCTTCATGAAATATTTCATACTTTTAGAAAATTTCCAGTGCTGTTTTGAAGGTAAATGAGGTAATGAGTGTTTTATGGGCGGAATAGGTATCCCTCTAAAGTTCATAATGGAACCTAATACCTAACGTATTGTGAGGTTTGGCTTTTGGGGAACTCATGCAGTCACTTGAGACTAGTGCCTTTTTGAAGGGAGATGCCTTGCCCACTTCCATTAGGTGAGGTCACAGCAAGAAAGCGCCATCTATGAAGCAGAACCCTCACCAGACACTAAGTCTGCTGATGCCTTGATCCTGAACTTCCCTACACAACTGTGAAAAATAAATTTCTATTGTTTATAAGTTGCTTAGTCTGATTATTTTGATACAGCAGCTTGATGGATTAAGATGGTATAAAAGTGCTTTGAAAACAATAAAAGCAGGGAGCAGATGTTAGGGATTGCATCTCCAGGCCATGGAGGCTCACCTTGGAATACACACACACCAACCTTTGAATGAGGTTTTATTTTCACAAGAAAAGGGGGCAATAAGTTAAAGGGCCATTGACATTGGAGGTTCCAGGAGGGGAGAGTGGTATGCCTGAGTTCTCCCTGCCTGTTCCTGGCTCAGGCAGTCCCAATCTGAATCACCTGCCCAGGCTCTGAACAATAGTAACACAGCCATGGGAGCTGGTACAGCGCTGCAGGGATGGCTGGGCCTCCACCTGCCCACTGCTGGGGTCAAAGGTGAAGACCCTATCGGTGCTTTCCCCATGATCATCCCGCCCGCCGAGGATGTGGACCTTCCCATCACACACAGTCAAGCCACAGCTCTCCTGGATGGACAAAGAGAGACAGTCAACTCTGGGGTCCAGCCTGGGGCTCCCTACTGCAATCCTAGCTGGCCAGACCAGATAATAGAAACTTTCCCTACAAACGTAGGGAGGCAGAAATTAGAGTTCAGGCTCTGGCTTGACCCTTCTTAAATGAGGCATAATCAGGTCATCTGCAAAGGGTGAAGAATAATAGTACTTTCTTCATAGGGTACTCTTCCACAGTTAATGGGAATAAGTATGTAAAGCATTGTACATAGTGCCTTACGAGGCATAGGCAATATTGCCCGGGATATAGTAAATAAACTGGGAATGATAATCACACCACCAACACCTAAGAAGCCAGAAATCTCCTGGTTCTTAGGAATGCTGAAGGTCAGGATTGGCAGGGACCACCAGTCCAACCACACCTCCCCATAGTCTCTGGAAGGAGATAGAAAGTCCAGGAGACAAGGAACTATAGGCACCAGAGTAGCTGACCTGGACCTCCTGTTTGTGGTACTACTGGAGCAAGTAAACTTAGCAGAATCCTCCCCCACTTCCCACTGCACAACATGTTGTCAGCTGGTGGTCTTTGGGGGTAGGAAAAAACACTGAAGGGTCATTAAGATCAACCCTTCACTCAAAGATACAGCACTTGCAGTTCTAGGCTTTGCCTTAATATGTTCTAATCGGTGGCCTTGGCCTCTCTAAGGCCAGCTGCCTCATCTGTGAAAGTTTGATCATTACTGGGAGGACAGAGCTAGAGAATCCTGTACCATGTAAGACCCACCACTTCCAAGATCCACTTTCCTGAATGGACCATTGATTGCCAGGGCCCAGGCTAGGGATCCTCCACTTACCACGGGACTGGGAAGGACAGCAGCCTCCCCCCAGACATCTGTGCCAGGGTCATAGGTGAAGATTTTGCTCAGGAGGCCCCCCACCACATAGATGGTACCCTCAAGGGAGACAGCTTCAAGACACCGCTGGGAGAAGGGCGCTGGTGACCGCAGGCTCCACTGGCCTTCCTTGGGGTCAAAGCACTGTACCTGAGGGGCAGGAAAGCAGTGGTGGTGAAGCTTATCTCCAAGTGCCCCATTGCTCGTGTCCTGCCACTTCGTTCCCCAGGGATACTCAGCACACCACCAATATCAACCAGGCCTGGGCTAGTGTTTGGAATGTAGAGACCTACTGTCCCTGCTATCAGCCTAGTTCTGCTTTCTATGTTCTATCCCCAATCCCTGGATGCCCTTTGTCAAAAGCCTCCTCATCTTTCAAGGTCCAGCTCAAATGTCACCCACTACTAAAGCCCTTCGGGGTGTTTCCTGCCTCCTCCACCAAAGGAACAGTATCTTTAATGGAGGAGAAATTAGGCCCTAATGAGATTAATCATCTGAGCCCAATATCAAGCTGGGAGAGGTTCATGTCCTAGCTGAAGGTACTATCCATATTCCTCCTTTTTCCTCAACAGAGATTTGTCCCTGGTTATATACATTGTCAATCCTCTTTCATGGTGCTCTGGGTGTTCCAGCTAACGCACCTTGCAGCCTGCTGCTACAGCTGCTACAGGCCTTTCAGGGGTGCACACCTGTAGCTGGCTGCCTGTTTACCATTACTATCTTTCCTCAGTTGTATCCTTAGAGGACTCCCAGAATAGCCTTTAATAAATGAATGCTACATGAGAAGGTGTGGAATGGCACCAACCACTACTGGTGTCCCCTATTCCACTCCAGGAAGGTTTGCTGGAGAAATGGGGTCCTGGGAATAAGGAGGAGTGAGGGTTCCTAATTTGGAAAAAATTTGGGTACCAGGACCACAGGCTTATGAGGCCATCAGGGGAGGGAGGGAGCAGCCATGAAAAAGATAAGTTTTTATTCACAAAAAACTAAACGCTATTATAGATTAGTAGACTATAGTTCATCCACCCAGGGGATGTTACAGACACTGAAATGATGACCATTAAGTTCTAAGCATGTGGAAAGTGCTTTTACTTAAACTAGAAAGCAGAATGCAAAATTTTACAGTAAGAACATAAAACTAATACAGAAAAGCAAAAGACAATTCGTGGAAACCTGGAAAGCAATATACCAAAATATTTGTAGTACTTATGCTTAGGTGGTGGAGCTGTTACCTTTCCTTCTAGACTTTCAATGAATGTATTTTTGGAGAGGGATGGAGAAAAACACTTCAATCATACCCCTGCCCTCACTTCATTTTTAAATCTATGAGACCCATATGGATGGGATCAGCCAGAATACTCAAGTCCAGGTGTGCTGCTGGTGTGACACTCGGGTCATTTCTCTGAATTTGTTGCCGTGCCTGAAATCTTAGGCTGACTCCTGGGCTGCTGATGTGATTGAGAAAATGGACCAGCACACGCAAACACCCAAGTTTACGGCTGACGCACAGTAAACACCGCTGATTCCCTATAACTTCTAATGCCCCTTCCACGCCCCTAGACCTGCACCCACCTTGTCGGTGTTGAAGCCATCCTGCCCAGCGCCCCCGATAACGTAGAGACGACCAGCACAGGTCGCCACCGCCGCAGAGCTCACCGCCTCTGGCAGGGGTGCGGCCGCGGTCCAGGTGTTAAAGAAAGGGTCATAGCGCTCCATGCTGCGCAGGCGCCGAAGGCCATCGAAACCACCCACCGCGAACAGCTGTAGGTGAGAACATCAGCGGCGTCTGGAGTCAGGGCCATAGGCGAATCTGCGGCTCCACCACTTTAGTCTGAGTGGGCAACTATCACCACCCCAGCTTCCAAATTAACATGGGCAAATCTTAAGCACAGACACCACCTGGGCATCTTTCACCCAGTTAGGGAACTTGGCTGAGATGCTTCCTCTCCTTAACTGGGATAATGAGGCTGGTCTCTAAAATGACTAATGAATGCAGATTACAAATACCTGATGCTTACTAATAACAGCTAGAGTATTACCACCTCCATTTAATCGATGCTAAAAAGTACTTCTGTGCCAGGCTTGGTGGCGCACCCCTGTAATACTGGCGGCTAGGGAAGCTGAGACAGGAGGGTCACAGCAATGACGAGGCGCTAAGCAACTCAGACCCTGTCTCCAAATAAAATACAAAATAGGGCTGGAGAATGTGGCTTAGTGGCATCCCTGGGTTCAACCCCTGGTGCCAAATAAATAGATTTTTTTTTTCCTTCCTTCCTTTTGGTACTGGAGATTGAACTCAGGGGCACTCAACCACTGATCAAAATCCCCAGCCCTTTCTTATATTTTATTTAGAGATAGGGTCTTCTGAGTTGATTAGGGCCTTGATATGTTGCTGAGGCTGGCTTTGAACTCCCGATCCTCCTGCCCCATCCTCCAAACCATTGGGATCACAAGCGTGCACTGCCGAACCCAGCATTTCTGTGTTTTTGAATTCAGGATGTAGTTTATAAAGATAATTGGCAGAATTTTTTTCTTTTCTTTTTTTTTGTGCTGGGGATTGAATCCAGGGGCACTTTTATCACTGAGCTACAAACACAGTCCTCAAAAAAAAAAAAAAAAAAAAAAGGAGAGAGGGCTAGGGTTGTAGCTCAATGGTAGAGTGCTTGCCTCTCACATGTGAGGTACTCACTGGGTTCAATCCTCAGCACCACATAAAAATAAATTAATTAACTAAAATGTATTGTGTCCATCTACAACTATAAACACACACACACACACACACACTATATATATATATATAAAATCATAATTATACTTCCAGACAGGATCTCCCTAAGTTGATGAAGATCTCCCTGAATTACTGAGGTTAACCTAAACTTGCAATCCTCCTGCCTTAGCCTCCCCAGTTGCAAGGATTACAGGCATGCACTACCAACACCCAACTAGAAGTTTTTGTCTTAAGTGGAAGAGTCAAGTTTCAAACCTGGACTGTTTGGCCCCACAGCTCACACCTTTGACCACTAGCCTGCATTATTACAGTAATGGCTATTATTGTTAGCATTAGTATTATTATGTGATCTTAGGCAAGTCCCTTTCCTTTCTTGGACCTCAGATCCCTTCTTACTTCCGGAGGTTCATAGCCTTCCCCCAGATGGTTCACATCTGTGTCTTGGGTCCCACGGTAATAATCACATTGTATGCCTACCTGACCCTGCACAGCTGCCATCTTGTGCCTCCACCTCCCCTTGTGCAGCGAGGCTACTTTGATCCAGGTGTGCAGATGGGAGCTAAACATCCACATATCACGGCTGTTGATATGACCCCCTAGGGAGAAATAAGCAACCGTTGCCTCCAGGCCCTCTTGCTATCCCCAGCACCCCCCAAAAAACAGAAACACAGACGCCCAAAGGAAGGGTTAAGGATAGAAAATAGAAAGGACATCCTCTGAGCCATTGTAAGACCCTCTGATCCCAGACTGCTTTGAATGAAGAGAAGATCTTGAGTTAGGGCTCTTGAGGAACAGAATAAGGAAGAAAGAGATAATCTTCACTGGGTACCTTGGGTGCTTTGTACTCAGGGAAGCAAATGTCGGGGTGGGGACTCTAGGCAAGGGTAGGAGTTTCAGGAATGTTCTGGAGACCAGGGGAAAG